TTAATCAATACTACTACATTGAAATACTAAAAAGACTTCGTGAAAACGTTAGGGGAAAAAAGGTCACAGTTGGGGAGTTATAGGATGACTGTTGTACTAGCACAATGCACCCGTTCACACGGCCCTATCTGTCAAGCAGTTTCTGACCAGCAAAAACGTTATTGTGATGGTCCATCCTACTTATCCACCTGATGTAACTCCTTGCAACTCTTTTTTTTTATTTCCTTAAGTTAAATCTTGCTTAAAGGCAACCTATTTCACTTCAGTTGAAGAGGTTCAGGCAAAAATGAAGAATCTTCTGAAGGGTCTTCAAAAAACCTCGTTCCAGATCTGTTAACAGCAATGACAGCACCGAATGCAGAAGTGTCTGAATGCTGAAGGAAACTACTTTGAAGGTGGTAACTACTTTAAAGGTGGTGGAGAACTGGCTTTATAAGCACAGGACCAGTCTCGTTTTTTTGTGTCACACCTTGCATTAATAAGAATAAAACATAGAATGCGTTTTCTCAAATCTAAATCCTAAAATATTTTTTAATATTAATCTTTCGGATTGTTCATATTAGCAAGAAATAACTATTACGTAATAATAAAGTTTTTTTATGAAAATAAGTTTTAAATCTGAATTTAAAGGGAAACAGATTCAAGAATTTAGTTTGTTTAAGTTAAAAATAGAGGTACACCACGTTTGCATGCCTTCAACCGTTATCGTTTTTTCAAAACTTCATTTTCAGAACTTTATTTCACATATTTCATTTGAAAAACACATTTTTTATGTATTCAAATTTCAAAATTTGAATGCATCTTGTAACATGCTTATCAGAAGACTCACAAAACATTTTTTGCATTACTTTAAGAACATGACTTAACAGTAATTTTTTCCAAAAGAGAAATTGCTTTAACGAAATAAACTGAAGAAATAGCAGAGTTTCATACATGCAATGGATATTTATAACATTTGCAAAGAAATTACCTAACGGAAGAAATTATATTTATTTACCTATATTTACAAACCTAAAGTAAGGTATAAAACTGTAGATGATCAACATGATGCATCATGAACACTAAGCTAATCTAGTATATAACTAGAAAGCAATACCAATTTATTTGAGCATAGTATTTAGTAAAAAAAGCATTTACTAGGATATCTAAATGAAATATTTCAGATTAAAGAAGCACCAAATACTCGAGTGCTTTATCGTAATAAAGTACCTAATCTAACCTAAAGTTTAGATAAATATTTTAAAATAAATGAAGAGTTAGTTTTGAAGAATTTTCTAGTTTAAAAAATGATGAATAATCCGTAGAATCAAACTTCTCTCGCACATGGCTATTACCTTCTATGATCTCAAGTCATAAATCATGTTTGGCTGGCAATGGGGCGTATATCAAGTTTCGTTGCTGTAATCTTTACTAGCTTCTTAACACAATTTTCAAGACTCTATATGTCGTGAAATATTTCAAATGCATAACACAGCCAATATTTAATATATTAATAGCTCAAAAAAGGTAAAAAAGAAAAGAAAAAGGGGAGTAAAATCGTAAGTTTAATTCAAATCTAAAACATAAATATATTGAAACGTAAGAAATATATTTTTGATATTGCTTGAAAATGTTCTATCTTAAATCTCAATAATTTACTGCATACTCACTACAAAGAGATCATTAATATATTACCTGTTCATGTCACGAACACGATATTTGCATTTGTGTAATAATTAGCTTTTAAAGGTTAGTTAAATTAAATTTAATATTATTAAATCTCTAATTTAAGAATACTTTGAGAAATGTTTTAATGAACAATTATTCCGTTCAAAAACATTATTATATGTCCTATTCTGGGTACTCTGAGACATAACATATTACAGAATAGCTGCTAGATGGAAGTGGTTAGTGAATCTGATTGCTGTATCGAAGGGCCAGGGTTCGAATCCCAGAGGAGGCGTAGATGTAAATTATCTGTTCCTCTTTAGGAAGTAATGGTGAACGCTTCTATGATGCATAAATAATACAATGGCCACTGATTCTGGCCTTAGTAGTAGCGAAAGCCTAAAATGGCTACTGCCCGCCTTCAAAAAGTATATTAGATAATTATTTAATTTTAAAACATTAATATCTATCCCGCTTTAGTTACATCTGAATTCCTAACTACTTTACATCTAAAGATGGCTTGTTTTCAATTTTTCCCGAAGATGACCTGTACATAATCACTTAAAACGCTTACAGTTTTCATAAGTAGCCTCCCTTGTTTAAATTCTGTGTAAATGAAATTTAGTGAACTCGTAGAGTGACTATAACTGGTTTATGAAGACATGCATATTTGCAGCAGCTAACGTAGGTTTAGAACATTTGAATAAAGAATTTGCTTCTGTATGTTTGTTTATGATGCACTTGAACTGTTTAATTTTACTGACTGTAGAAATTAATGCTGTGATTACTTATATTAAGCACTAAAACGCAAAATTTTAAGATAAAATATTACATTTTACTTCACGTTTAAAATTTCGGTATCTCTGTACAGACAGAGTAAAGTGATTGTTGCATGTTATAGAGTATATACATTTCTATTCTTTTAAACGTAAGCATGATATTTCTTGCGCCAATCTTATGGCCATTTTACTGAGAGTTTGGGAAAATGTTCCCCAAAAATTATCGTTAATTTTATGAATAAATTGTAAAAATAAAGGAAATGCTGAATGATCATTTTATCCCAGAGCAATATATATGCTTTTAAAATAAAATGCTTAAATATGCAGTTAAAGGCAATTTTATATTTTTTTCTAATTTCATAAATAAAAAAATATGTGAACTGTTCTTATTTTTGAAACATATAATATAATTTAACGTTTTAGCTTAATACATACGTTCGAATTGACAACATATAACTTGGGTTTTCCTTTAAAGTACTGGTTTGAAGTTTTTACTAGGTGTTTTCATGTACGTTTTTTCCAACACTTTCATAATAAACAAAGCTGTTTGGATAAACCGATGTTTTAATCGTATATATATATATATATATATCTACTTGCTGAATGATCTGCCACATAAACATGTCTGTTTATCAGTACCATTCTCATTTAATATTAGTCAGATACTTTTAATTCAAATGTTCTATTATTCTTCAAATGGGATTTTGTGCTGATTCGCTATAAATGCGTCATTTAACTTTTCATTCGAGTCTGATGCCATTTGCCCTAATGAAAGCTATTTATCTTTAAATCTTAATCGGTCTGTTGAGGATTAAAACCTTAAGTGTTTGAAAGTAATAGGTGCGGTTCTTAACACTATTCCTTCCTTACTTTGCAACTGGAATTATTTAAATAATAAAAATGCATTTAATTCATGATCTATGTAATTAAACATGTTTAGTATTTTCATGGAATGACGTTACATTTTTCTTAGCCCAAAGGGCGTTAGCCCAGAAGGCCTATTAATTTCGTTTTCGCATGTTGCGTCGATTCACTTTTCAAACTGTTGCCTCCAGTTATTACAGACCTGTATTATAGTTGAAGAAATTAAATAATGAAGAATCTACACAAATGCATATATTTTTCTCGCATTACGATAAAACAACGGTACCTAGAGCCATCAAATTTTGAATAACGTAATCCTCCAGCGAATATGGGCATCTGGAAGCCCTAATTTCGAATTTGGAATTTGTTTTATTATTTAATTCATACTTCTTCAGACATTAAAGAATTTTGATTAAAAACACTCAACGATTTCAAAGGGAGGGATGGCAATACTGTACGAAAAAAACAGTTTTATCTACACCGCAAGAGACCGTTTGTATCGGAAATTCTAAAAATATGCTCATTTTTGAATTATTTTGCGATATTGCTGTTGAAATGAATTTTATGGTTTAAGTGCGAATGACATGATATTTAATAAATAAAGGTAGCACACAAAACGTTAAAAAAACGCCTCTTTGGACGTAATTTAGAATCTGAAACATTTCAGATTTAAAAAAAAAAAAATTTCTTTCATATTTGAAAGAATTTAGAAAGCGAGAAGGGGCAATATTTAACGGGATGGAACATGTATCTCCAGCGTGCGACACTTGTCTATTGGAAATTGTAAATTCATACTGTTTTTAAATATTTTAGGATTTTGCTGTTGAATTGAAATTTATGAGGCTAAGTGCGAAGAATGTGATAATTATTAAATAAAGTTAGCACTTAAAAAGTTAATAATAGACGCACACAAAAATATCGCAATCAAACTAATATTGTTAAGAAAACTAAACATATATGATGAACTGAAAAAAAAAAAAAAAATAGAAAAGTGTATGCCAACACTAAATATTGCATTGAGCATTCTAATCATATGCTGTTATTAAAACATTTGAGATTTTTCAAAACTTTTGAGATTTTTCTTTTGAATTGCATATATGCAATTCAAAAGAATTACGCTATAGCGTAAGTTCGAATAAAACGATGCGTAATAAGAAGGAATGAGTGCAGCAACAGGCTGGTAGACTGCAAGCTCAAAAAACCCTTAAATAAAATCTTTGGAGGGACCGTTAAAATCTAAATTCTTTCAGTTTTTTGTTTGTTTGTTATATTGTTCTTTCACTACTTTAGCAATACTTTTAATATTACTACAAACATTTCGAGCTGAGAACTGTGCGCAATCGTTTTAATTGGGTATTAAGTACTGATGTGATTTTCTTTCAGCATTACGTAATAAAAACCGTTGTTCGAATAAATCGATGTTTTACTCGTATATATATATATATGCATATATATATATAACAATTTCTTGATTGATCTGTATATAAGTTTCTGTTTATGAATACTATTGCCATTTATTACAGTCAGTTTACAGTATTATTTAATAGTATTACAGTATTATTTAACATGAACTGAAATTTGTGCACTGAATAAATACCATTAGCAGTAAATACATATTATGCGCATTTTCCTTATTCCATTATGCGCAATGTTTCTGGACCTAAAATTTGTGACGCATCTAATAATAACTTTGAGATTATTTTCTTTCAGGGGAGAAGCGAGCAGCGATGCAGCACGACTTGAACACTTCTCCTGCAGCCGCTTCAGCAACCACCTGGGACCAATTCGCATGGGGTTTCTGGATTTCTATGCTCTTCTCCTTGGTTCTGTCATCCTGACGCCACTGACCAGCGTTCGATTGGCAAATCAGATATGACAGTCCGTCCAATTCTCAGCCACACTTTTGTGAGTAGCTGCCATTTTCAATTACTTTATCATATTGCAATGAAGCCAGAACCTATATTTATGTTCTCAGTTTTTCAATGCATGGGAGTTTCGCTTACGACATATGGTGGCTGTGTTTCCTTTGAGTGATAGTTGGGGACCATCCGTAAAATGATGTACTTAGTAATAAGAAATATTTATATAAAATTCTTACATTTTTAAAATTATAAGCGCTTTGACAAGATTATATGACCAGTACTCATAAACAATCCATAGGAATATATATACACATATATATATATATGTATATATTCATATTAATAAAAAGAAGAAAATGCAATTTAATATCATAGAAAAACATAGACTTCTAACTTAAGAAGGAATACATATTAATATACAGCTTTAGAATGTTTATATGCTATATATTAATATGCATATAAAAATTCTAATAAAGTTTATTTTTTCATAATAATGATTATTTTTTCTCATAAATTGCGAATGGGATTTCATTGGTAATTAATAGTGAGAACGCATTTAAATAGGAAGTTTGTTAATATTTATTATTGAAAATGGGCATAGGTGACTTAACTCTTGAAAATGCACAGATAATCGTAAGGGTGAAAATATCTTTGTATGGTAAAATATTTAAAAATCATTTTTAAATGAAACACTACCATAGATCTCAATTTTAAAACTCAGAAGCTATCGTACATTAACGCAATGATTCTTAGGAAAATTACTTAAAACATCACTCAGTATTTCAGGCAAGTACTTTGGAAGTCTAAATTAATAAACTGTTACTAAGCAATACAAGCTTTTAAGCAGTTCTCGTTTGAGAATAAAATTATAAAGTTAAGGGCATTAAAATAAAATCTTTACTTTTTAATTAAATGTGTAATAGAATTATTTCATTTATATTTATATAAATGCTTATATCTATATAAATATATATTCGAAAATCTCCATAAATTCAAATATAAAAAATTTTTTAATCTGCCAATGAAAAATGTCTGCACTTTGTTGTTTATTTAACCAAAGTATTAAATGATGTCTTGAAAAAATTTATGGCTGAAAAAAAAAAAAAAAAGAACCTAACTTTTCAGTAATAACGAAACTTCGCGAAATTGAAAGTAAACGTTATCTAACAAAAATCCGCAATGGAATTTAAGTCTGTCTTTCTAAAAAGTCAGATGCCTAGTTATTTCCTCACAGGCTTTTTTTCGGCAGGCATTAACCATTTTAGGTTTTGATAGCTATTAATGACAGAAGCGGAGATCATTTTGGAGGCACCTAACAGGCGGTCACCTTTACCTCCTATGAAAAGACAGACAATTTACACCCATGCTTTCTCCGGGATTCGAACGCGGGTCCTTCAGTATGACAATCAGATTCACAAATCACTTCCCGTGTGAGCAACATATCCTTAAACTTAATATACTTTGGATATGTAAGACAGGTTTCAAAAGTCGCTTCTTATTTAAACATATGGAAGTATTCTTATTAAACGATTCTGAAATAATATGAGTTATACAAACCAATGGATATAAATTGTATAAAAGGAAGAGAAAATTTTAAACTGAATGTGAGTGAAGATTGATCTCATTTATACCATTACCATACAATCTGAGAACTAAAGAAGAAATTAAAATAAAATTTCGAGGAAACACGTGATGAATTAGGGCGTCTCATTTTTAACAGAAATATTTATGAATAAATTGAATAGAGAAAAATGTCCAGAGACACTAAAACAATTCATACTAGAAAAAGGTCCAGAATATGCAAACCCAAATGAAAATTTCAATAAGGCAATGACTGCTCCCTTTCTGCTCCTTTTACTGCGAACTTGGACTCAGTCTCATAATATATGTGAAAAGGTAAAATCCTAAAAAAATTGACTCAATTACAACTAAAATTGACCAGTATATTTTAATTTCAAAACTTGCGAATTTTTATCAGATTTGCACCTTATTTCTTTCTCAAAGAATTTTGTGTCATTTTGAACTAACCTTGCAATTTAAGCTCCGCCAATTTCTTGTAATTATGTTGTACACATGTTACTTCTATTTTCAGGGACTGTACCTTTAACATACGTTATGTATTTTAATGTCACTTTAGATTTACGTTATATATGGAACGATTTTATAGGTTTCTTTGAAGGCCTGGGACAGTCGAAGAATTTTGCCGTATAAATTTGTGGTAATTGTTTCTTCACTTTGCAAAAACATATCCAACTACACTTTTTGTTTCATATTTATGCTTTTATACCATATAGTGACGAAACACGTAATACAAAGAATATTACAGGCTGTTTTATGACTGTTTGGCTTAACCAGCGGTCTTCTTCGAAAGATAGCATGCCAAACGAAAGCGTACAATCTGAAAACAGAATTAAAAAAAAATGACTAAAGCAATAGTCAATTTTGTTGCGTATCTGGTTCACCATAAATTGAGGATCAGTTGTAAATGTATTACAAGTAAAAAGAAGTTTAACGCATTAAAGCTCCTTAGCGTTCTAATGAGAAAAGTTTTTGATTTACTGTGACAATAACAAAAAATATTTATTCCCTGTAACTTTTCAAAATTTCGTTTCATGTGTCTAGGATTAATCCGATATTTTTTTAAGTAAAACCCTGCTACTCGAATTTATGTTATACATCTTATTTTGTCATCTTTTAACATTTCTTCGTTTGAAAAAAAAAAAAAAAAAAAAAAAAAAACAATGAAACTTATTGTATAAGCTGAAAGTTGAAAATAAACTACACTGAAAAGAATTTCTGCAGATTATTTACTTGTATTAAGGAATTTAGAAACTGCAAAGGAGAACACTAGTATCATGTGATATTAAGTCAGCAAGAGAGGCGAAAGACAAGTCGACTTTGAGAGAATTGGATAGTGTTCAATTTCTGAAATGTCTCTGCCAGTGTCTTCCGACGTTCCGTTTACTAGAGTAAAAGAAATATAGGGGATCTTAATGCTATTTCCTTGAGGGTATTGTTTCTTAAAATCCGAGTTGCGAAAAAACGTTTCTTGAATCTCTTTTCGTTTAGATCAAGGAAGAAACATTTATAATAGAAAAATATATAGAGAGAGAGAGAGAGAGAAAGAGTGAAGAACAGAGAAATGAAGTAACTAGAGTTAAATTACTAGCAATAACAATTTAAGTATGATATAAAAATTAATTACAAGTATTAAATATAAGAATAGAATTTTTTTGTTATTTTTTTTTTACTATTTCAGATTACGGAGGCGCTCTATGGAATGTAATACTCAAACACCTTTACATATCACAACATATTTTAATGGGATTTAGCCCACCAGATAATATTTCAGTAGAATAAATTCCAAATAATGTGAAGAATTAATCATTGACGAAAGCATAAATGTAATAAAAGTGAAAAATTCTGATGAAGTCCCTACATGACTGTTTTAATATAATGACTGGTACATTATCATAATCGATTTTGCTTTAATTGCTTTTATTAACATCTGTCTGGAATACAGAGAGGACGAATTTAAATTGTATTAAATTGCAAATTCTGCTACAATGAATAAATAAACCAAATGTATAGTTCTTTGAAAGTTCTTGAAATAGATTGCATTTTTCTAAATCGCATGAATTTGAATGCTCCTAAGGTATGTTTTGTTGAGTGAAGTGATAGAACTGATATTTTTCTAAGATAAATCTGAAAAACAAAGATAAAAGTATTACGCCTAAAGAGGCATTTTTTAAATGTTATGTGTTTTACCTTTATTTATTAAATATCATGTTTTTCGAATTTAAATCACATAGAATTTCATTCAACAGCACCAATACAAAATACTTTAAGACATCATATCTTTAGAATTTCCGACAGAGTGTCTCGCGCACTGGAGATAAAAATGTTTTTTTTTTTTTTTTTTTTTTTTTTTTTTTTCGTACAGTGTTGCCATTGCTCGCTTTGAAATCGGCGATTTTGTTAATCAGAAATTCGTTAAAGTTACAAATATCGTTAAAAAATATGAAATAGGTAATAAAACAAATTCGAAATTCAAAATTCAGGTGCACATGTTTGGGTGGAGGACTGCATTCTTCAAAATGTAATGGCTCTGTCGTACTGTCGGTCTTTCACAATGCAAGAAACATACATTCACGTAAATTCTTCATTATTTAATTTCTTTAAATATAATGTAGTACGATAATATTTGGTGACAACAATATTATCGGTGTAGTATAGTGTGGCCCCAACTCGTCAGCAATTGTGGTAGTGACTGCTACGAAGTTTGAATTTACACAGACACATAAGAAGGGGTTTAAAGCCCTTTTTATTCAACTTTTAAAATAACAGAGGCGTCCACTTGACGCTCACAAACTACGCCGACCCGGCGGTTTAACTGAAACAGAACGTAAAACTGAAAAATAATGACTGGATGAATAAATAGCGAGATCGCTATTGCGAAGCTCTGAGATCTTGAAATAACCTAACCGCGTTCTACAATACCGCTGAGATTCAGCGAGCTTTCTAATTATGCAGTTGAGAGATCCAACAAAATCTGCCGAGATAGGCACACAAACCGAAACGCGCGGTTCTTAAATTTCTACCTAGCAACCTTCACGTTCGCGATTCAAGAAGCACACCTACAATCTCGTTTTCCTTCTATTTAAACTTAACTTACTTCTGCTAAAATTTGAATATACTTCGCGCTCTACTACAATTTACATACTCTAGCATTGGCAATTCTAGGGGAAAGTAAAGGCTTGACAGGAAAGATAGCTTAAAGTGAAAATAAATGTTAGTTAAAATAAATATAAATCCAAAATTTGCCGTTGCCATAATTTTGTAAACTTGGAAGCAGGTCCTAGAAACGACCTGTTTAAAATTTCCATATTCTAACCTAAGGCTCAAGAGCTCCGTTTACATAAAACAAACTTTTCCCTAACAAAAATTTTTCAATAGTTTTTGTAGACGATTAGAATACTATATCTTCTTACAGGATCTTTTCTGCTGTTGCTCTTCATCAATCAATCTTTTTCTCGTCCTTCC